AGAAGGTGCATTCAGTTAATTGTTGACAAGTAATGCAAATACTGTATAAACGAGTAGAGTTGGCAAAGAGAATAAGGGGTTCTAACAGCGTTTGAGATTTGGGGCTTAGGGGCTTTAACGGTGTTTGTTAAAATTTTAATAGAATTGTTGATTTGAAATAATTATAAAGTGCATAAGGTTAATTGAAACAATTAAAAGTATAAGGGGGTAATTTGAAACATGATCAAAGTCTAAGGGAGTAATTTATATTTTAGCCAAAAAAATTTCCTTCCTTCTTTACCATATATATATATATATATATATATATATATATATATATATATATATATATATATATATATATATATATATATATATATATATATATATATATATATATATATAACTTTGTTAAAAATCAAGGTAGAAATCTTTGATTTGTTTAGCTTTCTCGATTTTCAAATCGATTTTGTTTAGATTTTAATTAATTGAATTTTTGTTTGTTAGAGTTACAACATCAACACATGGGCGGCTGTGCGAAATAATAGTTAATTTCAAAATTTATTTTTGTAAAGAAAAGAAACAAAAAAGTGGAAACAAAAATGGAGAACCCTAGTAGTAGGAAAAGAAGGAACATAGCAGGGATAGACGATAACATGTTAACCAGGTGTGAAGAATGACCTGATTCTATCTTGTAAGCTCCACCACCTCCATTGAAAAGAAAAACGAGCTCACAGACACAGTGAGGGAACATCAAAGTGCCAAATACAAAATCAGTTAGTTTAGTATTTTATTTTTTATTTTATTTTAGTAATTATTTTTTTAAAATAATGGTTTTTACCTTATTTTGCATTATTTGCCCACTGAACTTTTACGCTGACAATTTTTGGATTCAATATCATCTTTAATAGTTTTAAGGTTAATGCATTTGGTATTTTCATATTTTATGTATTTGACATTTTTTTAAAAAAAAATTATTGGTAATAAATTTTATCAAAAATTAATAACGACAAGAGAGAGAAAAGAGAAAATCAGATATAAATTTTATGGTGAAGTATTTCTCCAGTCATTGGAGATAAGTTATCTATAGTGACCCTTAAAACTATGTCGTTTTGAATTAATGAAGGGTGTTTATGTAATTTTATTTATTTTTTTATCATATGAATTTTACTGAAACAACCTTCATTACTTTTTCTAAAATTACAGAAATATCATTCATTAATTTAAAATGACGTAATTTTGGGGATAACTTATCTCCAGGAGAAATACTTAACCCAAATTTTATTGGTAATAAATTTTCAAAATCAGATACACTCCTTAAATACTTTAGGAAACCAGCATTTCCAAATTGCTATAAAAAGTGATTATGAGAGAGAAACATGATTATGTGCTATAAAATAAAGGAGGAGAGAGAAACTTAATATAAAGTAATAAATATTGATGAAAGTAATAATTTTTCTTAAATTTTGTCTATCCTAAACTCGCTAGAACATGCAACAACTTTTTGTCAGAAAAGTGCCACATGGACTGACTCGTTGATTGGCCAAAATTGCTACACTATGTAGCGAGTTACGTGGCTTCAAACTGACTGCCACGTGTTTAGATCTAACTCACTAAGTGTTGTAGCGAGTTAGGTGGCGTGGCATTTTAAAAAATTCTTACTAGAGTGTGGCAGTTCTGGTAATTTTTTGCCAGAAACGTGGCAAGAGGGTTGTTGTCCCAACAAATTCCATGTTGATTTGATGGCAAGTTATTTGGTGGTAATTGGTAGACCTAGATGTAACATTATGTTTGGAAAAGTCCTCATTTATATAAAGAGAAAAACTTTGGTGAATCGGGAGCACCGAATTCGGTTCTCCCTTTTACTAAAAAAAAAATTTAAGACTTAAAAGGAAATATAAAAAAAAGTATGGGTAAAAAGGGAAAAAAATTCCTTTTTAATAAAAAAGAGCACCGAGTGCACCAAAGATTTTTTTTTGCTTTTTAAGTGTGTCCTGAAGTCTTCCGTCGCAAATGAGTACATTTATAGTACTCTCAGAGAGGACCTAATTAGTACAACAATTGATGAGAATGTTGTTTTCTTGAAGTTTTACAATGAAATCCTTGATGAAAAAATCTTACTAAGTGTGTGACTTTGGGTACAGAGGACCCAATGAATACGTACAATTGACGAGAATGTTGATTTCATAAAGTCTTACAATGACATCTTTAATGTAGAAGTCTTACGAAGTGCGTGACTTTAGGTAAAGAGGACCCAATAAGTACAATAGTTGATGAAAATGTTCATCTCGTGAAGTTACCTTTAATTACTTGATGAAGAAGTTGCTCTTGAAAAATCTAATGGTGGTGGATAACAAGTTGAGCATATGGCATGATGAGCTACAACGATGGACTTTATTTTGGTATGATGATGCCTTCTCGTTCAACAATATATCTAGAACTCCATATCATGAAAGCATGATGTCTCCACGTTATTTGTTGATCACAAATCTATGGTTAATTGTGTCATGATGCACAATTTTCACATTATGTTGGTCGAATGACTTTTTCTCTTACGTTGCATATGATTCCGTTCCCTACCTATATAATTATTTCTTTCCATATTTCTTTCCTCTTTTTTTTGATAAAAAAGGATTACTTAATCCCAAAGGACTGAAAATGTTCTCATATCGTAGGACGATAATATGATGGTAACACTAGTCGTGGCAGTTACAAATATCATCCAAAGAGGCGTGGCTTAGCGAAGAGAGAAAAAACATTAAAGAGGGAAAATTGTTAATAACTTAAACTCCCAAACCTCGAAATACACACAAACACACACACCTTAAATTTTTACACAGTCTTATGTCTCTTTAAATTCTCTGACATGGGCACTTCCATCCTAAACACACTTAATGTCTGCGTCGAAGGATTCAACGACATTGGCAATTTACACAAATTGAATTTGCAACAACAATGTCACATGAGCATTTAAACCCAGAATCCCCCGAGTTCTTTCTGAACCAACACCATGACCTAGAGCATGTGCCATTAATTTCTTGGTGTAATAGCTCGTTGTACATCGGTATTGTTAACATTAATTATGATATTAAGCGCAGTTACAATCACATCAATTCATTTATAAAATGCGAGTAAACTTTTTCCGTTTATTACGCGAGTATTTAAAACCGTAAAAAGCGTAATAAATAAAAGTTGTGACCATAATTGTAAACTCTTGCGGAATACTTATTTAACTATTTTTATATCTTATTTTACTTAATACAAGTCACTAAGGGTTCCCATAAACCTACTTAGCCAATTTCACACTTTTACATTTCCTACCTATCCGAACGTGGTTCAGTATATTCATTTGTATTCACTCAAATTTCTTCATGTTCGTCTCATATTTTTGTATCTTTTACGGGGCTTAATTACCTTTCTAGGAAGCTATCACACGCTCTATTTAGAGCTCATTTACTCCGGATATCGCCGTTTGAAGTTGGACAAGCAAAACTGCCAACCAACCCCAAAACAGCTCCAAACATCTCTCACTCCACGAATTACTGCAAAGAATACACTCAACCATTTGCTCTCAAATTTTTACACAACAAACTAGACACCTCAAACTTTAAATTGATATATCATATGTTTAATTTGACTGAGAAACGAAGCGGGAATAAAATTCCCAAAAACTGCCAGAAACAGCCCCTGCACAGGTGCGTTCTGGACAGTCCATGTTCACAGGCTTCTACAGGGCTTATTGCAACCCAGAAAATTCTCAAATATTAACAAAATGTAGAGGACATCTCCAGCTTTAAAATGGAATATGGCACGTCCCTATCGGACCTCTGTGGAGGGAGATGTGCTCTCCCTAAGTTTGCCTAAATTCTGCCAATTCTACAGAAAATTCGCCAGAGTTTCCTTTGTTTTTCCAAAAATCCCCAAATTTGCCAATGTGTTCTAACACCTTAAATGTACCTAATCATCAATGGGTGGCACACACAAGGATCAACAATGTCTTAACGACTAGTATGCATAAGATAGTGTATCGCGGAGGCACTTACAACCCAACTCAGTTTATAGATATTACACAATTTATATCATACTGCTCACGTGATTAATACTTAATACGTTTCAATCATCAAAGTCCATTTACATGCATTCTCTAAGCATTCACATAATCATAATCCTAAAATAGGCCTAAAGCCCTTCCATCATATTACACATGCTTCTCTTTACACAATGTCCAAATACAATATTTACAACATCTCAATTTCATATTACAACTTACAATTTCATGACTTTAAATTACAACTTGAAACATGAACTTTAAATGACATGTACAACTAGACTTAGGCAAAATGACATGAACAAATATGACATAAATCTCATCCTAGTAACATATGAAATGTTCATGCCCTAAGTCTAGCCTAGGCCCAATGGCCATCAAAATGCAAAAGTGCAAGGTCCTCCAATGACTCATCCTACGGGCTTCTTGCCCACCGCTTCCGTACCACTGCTACCTCCTGAAATAAAGCCCCCAAAACAGGGTGAGATATACGAATATATCTCAGTAACCCAGAGGTTCCGGAGAAAACTCCGCCCAATGGTTCACTTCGATGCATATAAATAATATAAAACAACATCTTGAAAAGCGGGATATAGCAAGGGATTTAGAGAAACTGGGGAATATAGAAATACAAAATACGATGAAGCTGGAATGGTAGCTACCAATACCACGCAACGTCCTGCCTAATGGCTCGACATATAAACCTACGGGTCTAATCCAAGGTGTGTTCCTAGAACAACAACCAAGGTACCTCTCCCATCCATATACACCCGAGACTTCCTAGTGTGCTCCTATCCGGATTACACACCACGACCCTGGGTCAACTGGAACTCCCTCTCGGAGACCTATCCAGTAGAAGTCCGAAACGTCCGAAACTTCCTAGTGTGCTTGAATCCTTTTTAAATGTGGTTTTAGATTTATTGTTGTCAAATATGTTCTATACACAATTTCTAATGTTGATATTTTTATATAGTGGTTATATGTCTCCAAAATATATAAAGTATGGGCAATTTTCAGAAAAGTCTGATGTCTTTAGCTTTGGAGTCATAGTTTTGGAGGTCATTACTGCTAAAAGGAATGCCCATCCTCTTGTATCATCAGATGATGATAGCCTCCAAGCTTATGTGAGTATTTCTTTCTTTCAATAGTAGAATACTTTCATATTAGTTGTTAAGATATATAGTCCCACATTGGTTAGATGTGCAACTAATGTAGCCTTTATAAGGCCTTAGGCACTCCTACCCTCAGAGCTAGCTTTTGGGGTGGTGTATCTCAAGGTTCTTTACATGGTATCAGAGCTTGAGCCCTCACCGCCTCCCACTTTAAAGTGGAATTAAAATAAAAAAGCACAAAAGGTAAACCAGAAATTGGGTCTGTGCAATTCCACGCTTCTAGCCCAAAGGGCTCTTGCGTGAGGGGGCGTGTTGAGATATATAGTCCCACATTGGTTAGATGTGCAATTAATGTGGTCTTTATAAGGCCTTGAGCACTCTCACCCTCAGAGCTAACTTTTGGGGTGGTGTATCCAAAGGTTCTTTACATTAATTGACGAGAATTCTAAGAAGCATTAAGAAATAATCCAAATATTAGTTCACAAAAAAAGGAAATAATCAAAATATTTAATTCAGAAAATTGTTGCAGGTTTGGAGACAATGGAGAGATCAAACACCTTTAAATATATTACATGAAGGTATTAAAGAATCTTGCAATCATAGTGAAGTCATTAAATGCATCCATATTGGTTTATTATGTGTGCAAGAGAAGCCAGATCATAGACCCACAATGGCAAGAGTTGTTTCATATCTATGTAGCCCGTTAGTTGAGTTGCCATCTCCCGGAGAACCAGTGAATTCTATGCATAATAATGGAATAGTGCAAAAGCTGGTAGCAGACGAATCGAGTTCAGGTTCCACTTTCTCAGTCAAAGAAATGTCCTTGAGTAAATTTATTCCTCGGTAGTACTAGTAGGAATGCTAAACGAACAAGGGTCTTTGGTTGGGCTCGTGAAAGCGTGAGTTTATATATCTAAAATTGGTTGTTTGCACCAGACTTGAACGTATATAAAAGCCCGTTTAATAAAAAGGCATCAAGTTCCAATCTAAAAGCTCGGCCTTAGAGCCTCTCAGGCTAGCCTAATATATTATTATTTTTGTTTTATATTTTTTTATACTACTTGTAATAGTTCTCTCTTTCTCCTCAATCCATTTCGCCCCATTTTATTGGTTAAATAGTTTTTGAATGATTTTATTTTATATTATGCTGTTTGGATATACATTGAATTTATGAATATTTATGGAATTACTAGTGTTGTTGATTGTATATTCTGTTTGGATAAATTTTTGTTATCTTATTTTTTATAAACAGACTAACAGACTAAACCAGACTTTTATTTTTTTATAAATAAGTCCGGCCACATGTCGATAATTATATTTATAACAAGTAACAGACTTAACTCTTTAAAACCAATCTGACTCGTTAACATCCGCTCTACATTATCAATCGATGTCTTGGAACTCATTTAATTTGTTCTTTTGTAGTATCGCTCACTCTCCTTTTGTGCAAACTGAGATAGAATAATCCTTAATATGTATGACCTTCTCTCTTGATCTTAAACCTTGCTTGGTAAACCTTCTGATTGCATTGAGTTTTCACAATGGAATAAGAATTAATAGAATGATTTGAAATTATTATTTGAAACACAAAATATATGTACGGGTAACTTGTTATTTAACAAAAGTGGACTTAGATTAACCCATGGGCTACCTTGCTTAATTGATTGATATTTCAAGAATTCGGGTTGAGTTTAAAAAAGGGGAACAAATGGGAAGTAAGCAAAATTTTTAGAAATTAAAAACAATTAGTATTTTAGGAACTTATAGATTAACGAGAAATAATTGAAAATTTTCTAACATCAAAGTAGTGTTTTACACTATTTTATTTTAAAGAATTAAAAAAACTCCCAAGAAATATTGTTAAGCGTTCTTTTGTAGCCTCAAATCAGCGTACATTTCAGAAAGCTAGAAAAAGAACACGTAGGATCTACAAATGAAGGCTTGCATTTTGCCGGGAAGATGAAAATTAAAACTGACGCAGAATTGTTCGACCCATAAACATGATAGTCTTCAATTTTGTGTTTTGAATACAAATTCAAGATTTCAGAAGTGTATGGAAAAATTCAAGTTTCCCTAAGATTTTCCTTAATTTTCTCTTACGTATATAGATATGTTACCCAATTGTCTATTTTCATGCCCATTGACATTTTCTATATTGTTGTTGATGCTAAAAATTCATGTGAGTGATGAAGTGTCACAGTCACATGAAGTGTAAGTGGAGTTCATATGAGTAAAAGATCCGTGAAATTGTTGTTAAAGATTTTGAGTTAAAAGAGGTCCCAAGTGGGAATCGAAAAATTGATATATCCTCTGTATGGATAACGAACCAGTTCAAAAAAAAAAAAAAAATGTGGTCTCAGTTCACTGTAGTAGTTTGTCATTTTATCCACTGAAGAAGGTATCATTACTTCAATGTATATATTTTTGAAGTAAAGTAACATTAAAAATTTCGGGATTGATTGAGAACGGAATTGAAGGAAGATAGAGGAAGGGAAAGGGAGCTTTATAATAAGGACTGCCAAATGTCAAGGCCTCTTATTACTGGGCTAAGTTGAAGGCTAACGATCCACAAATTAGTAAATTTGGTCAAATGTAAAGTTTAAAAGAGCAAGAAGCAAAGACATCGGAGTTGAAACTAGTTATTCTATTAGTATACCACTAACAGAATAAAAAAGAATAGGCAGAAGCTTCCGTTCTTTGTCATTATATGTCATACATATTCTATGGTCAAACAACAGCTGCGCAAGTGTTTTGCGTGTCATAGAAATTTTATTCTTTCACCATCAAGCATTCCACAAGTCTCAGTCTCACCGAAGCTTTTAATATATTAAGTGATGGAATGATTTTATATTTAATACATTCTCTCAAAGAATAGAAGTCTTTTGGGCTCGAAAGTAAACAAAAAGACATTTTCCCTTCATTATTAAAAAGCTCCTTTTTGTTTTTTTCCTTCCAGTTTAAAATAACAAACAAGGAAAAATGTTTTGGTTTTTTTCAAAATTTTCCACTTTGCAGACTAGTCCATGGGAGTTTTTCCTAGACTTCCAGTTCTACATGTCATCCATCAACCGAGAATACACAAGAGAATGAGTCAAAAATAGAACAAGCAATGTGGAGAGTTTATCAAGTTAAACACATCCTAGTTCAAGGTTGGAACAAGGCATCATAATCATATTGAGGATCACCGAGATGATTCTCTTCAACATTAACCATGTAGCCCTGTTTCTTCTCCTCTCTCTGTTTGGATCGCTTACCCCATCAAGCGCATCAGCTCCCAATTTCAGCGACATTTACTGCCCGAACAACACCACCTACGAATCCAACATCACATTACGCACCAATCTCAATGTCCTCCTCTCTTCTCTCATCTCCAACTCTACCCAAGGCGCTTTCTCCTACTCCACCACCATGGGATTCGGCACCACCAGCGCCGTCAACGGTCTCTTCCTCTGCCGCGGCGACGTCTCCTCCGCCACATGTCAGGAGTGTGTCACCACCGGAGCCACAGAGATAACACGGCGCTGCCCCAACCAGATAGAGTCCATAATATGGTACGATGAGTGCATGGTGAGTTACACAAACCGCTACTTCAACCCTTTCAGCATCGTCCCAAGAAAGAACTTGTGGGATCAAAAGAACATCTCAACCTCGGATTTGGAAAGCTTCAATGCATTTTTGCTCAGCTTGTTGAGCAGTTTGGCTGCAGAAGCTGCGAATTCTCAGTCAACGATGAAATTCGCCACCGGAGAAAGGAACTTCACCGACTCGTCGCAGCAGTTAACGGTGTATGGCCTGGCTCAGTGCCCGACGGGCATGACGAATGCCCAGTGTGAGGGGTGTTTGGTAAATGCCTCGAGAACCCTTCTCACATGTTGTGAAGGAAAACAAGGTGCGAGAGCTCTGCTTCCATGGTGTAATGTTAGATACGATTTGTACCAGTTTTACAATACAAGTGGTGCATCAGCATCGCCACCGGTTCCTCCTTCTCCTCCTTCAGGTCATTTAACTCAACCAATGATACCATAATTAAATGATATAAACATAACAAGACTTTCTCTTTAAAGAAGTGAATCCACCCTATAACTACTAAAGATAATTGAAATTAAAAAAAAAAAATTAATATTTATGCAGGAAAGAAGAAATCTGGGAAACGAAGAACTGTCACGATTATTGTCATTGTTGTCGTTTTGATCATTCTCTTTTCCTTGGGTGGCTATTTCCTTTTGAGAAGATCAAGGAAGAATTATAAGACTCTTCTAAGAGAAAATTGTAAGTAATTAAAGAAAAAGAAAAAGTCAAATCTACTCTCATTTCTTAAAAGCTTTAAGGGGAGACATTTAGCTTGCTTACGTCTCCGATGCCTATATATTTATTCTTGCAGTTGGTGTTGAAAGTGCCACGTTAGAGTCATTACAATTTAATTTGGCAACAATTCAAGCTGCCACAAAGAAATTTTCAAACGAGAACAAAATAGGCAAGGGTGGATTTGGAGAGGTTTACAAGGTAAACAAAACGTAATGAAAATTGTATGTTTGCTTATTTTTTTTCTCATTCAACTGAATGGTTAGAATTTCAGGGTATTCTTCTGGATGGACGAGAAATAGCTGTAAAGAAACTTTCTCAAAGTTCAGGACAAGGTGCAGTGGAGTTCAAAAATGAGATTTTACTAATTGCCAAACTTCAACACAGAAATCTGGTAACGCTAATAGGATTTTGCTTGGAAGACAAGGAGAAAATGCTCATTTATGAATATGTGCCCAATAAAAGTCTCGATTACTTTCTATTTGGTAATAAAGTTCTTGTCTGTCTTTGTTCATCATTTAAGTTTAAAATTCATGCATTGGTAGAAAAATATTAAATTATATTTCATCTTTGATAACGTATTTGTAGATTCCCACAAGGGCAGATTATTATATTGGTCTGAGCGTTACAAAATTATTGAAGGAATTGCACGAGGAATACTTTATCTACATGACCATTCAAGGTTGAAAGTTATACATCGTGACCTCAAACCTAGCAATGTGCTGTTAGATGATAATATGAATCCAAAAATATCAGACTTTGGCATGGCAAGATTGATTGCTTTAGATCAAGATCGAGGAAGTACAAATAGAATTGTTGGGACATAGTGAGTATTTTTGAATCCTTATTTTCTTTTGATCATCTTCCTTTCTCTACTTAATTTGTTAAGAGATATAGCTTGATATTTGCATTTCATGTTAACATGGGTCTTCTTCCATTCTAAATTCTCATATTAAATTTAAATTTAGAATTACCTTGGTGAAGACTTTGTATGAAAACTCATGGTAAAGATAAAACTAATCCTAACTCTTAACAATGTATAAATTTAGTTTCATATTATTTTTTAAACATGTCTTGTCTAAATTCGATTGAAAAGAAGTATTTATGTAAACTAATGCTTGATCTACATTTGATGACTACCTACTTGGTTTACTTTTTATTGATGTCATATAATTTCATCCTTGTATCTTTCTCAATTTGATACATGTCTATATCTAATATTGATATTATTATTATTTTGTTATAGTGGTTATATGTCTCCGGAATATGCTATGCATGGACAGTTTTCAGAAAAATCAGATGTCTTCAGTTTTGGAGTCATAGTTTTGGAGATGATCAGTTCAAAAAGGAACGCTCGTTCTCTTTTATCAGATAATGTTGATGATCTCTTGAGTGAAGTGAGTATTCTTTTTAAATATTATGTTTCCTTTTGTTGATACAAAAGAAGCATAACGAGGGCGATAATTCAAATATCTAATTCAACAAATTGTTGCAGGCTTGGAGACAATGGAGGGATCAAACACCCTTAAAAATATTAGACCAAGA